TAGAACGTAACATCATTCCGACGTGAAAAATTTCCCATCGTAAATTATACTTTCACCGGAAAACATACCGGATTGCAAAATCTCTACAATACCGTGATCTTAGGATTGCAAGCTCGCGGTGTGCACTGTCCGGAAATGGTGTACTCAAAAACGTCTTTTCAACGACTTGAGCGCGCACCGCACCGTGATCTACGCGCAGTGCATGAAGTATCTTGCGGTCTTGTCCGCGCCGTGCGTGCGCGCCAGCCTCGCACCGGCCGCTCTATGTTTGACGCAATTATTCAGACTCAGCTGTTTTCAACCTATGATTTTGAAGTTTTTGTGCAGTTTGTTGGAATTATTGTCATTTCAAATGATAAAACATTACATAAAATCCAACTAATTTTCTTCTCTTCACGTATTTTTAAAAATAATTCTAAATAGAAGCATGCAAGTGAATAGAGAGTAATGAAAAATTGAATTACATACATGCAGATAAGCTTCCTTAGGAAGGTTACCGTGATATTCTGGTGATCTTCTCAATCTTAGTTGATTTTCGGCCCTGAATTCTACAAACACGTTGAAGACTTGCCGAGTTAAGTAAAGTATTGTGAAGTATAACCAATAATTCCTCTAAATCGTTAGAAATCCACGTCATTTTTTTCTCTAATGATTTTCAAAAAATTTGCTAAACGTTATTAAATACAGATGCTAGGACTTAGTGAGTTTTTGGACTACCGCTCTCTTTTTGTGCCATAGTATACTGATTTATTTTGCGAGGAAAGCTTCGTATTATTAGAGAATGCCAGTCATTCTTAATATGCTGGAGCGCCTTTCAATTTCGTATGATAACTGTGCAAAACCCCCTGTTGCGAAATAGTTGCTTGAGGCGCCGCGCCGTGGCACTGTGCGGCGCGGCAGGCGGGCGACCAGCGCCTACAAACCTAAGGGGATACGACACGCATTGCGCAATGCTTGAAGTATCCCCTTAGGTTTGTAGGCGCCTGTGCGCGTTCCGCGCCGCGCGTCACTCACTCTGTGTTAGGCTCTATTATTTAAACTCGCGAATTCAGCGATTTTGAACTCATGATTTTGAAATGTTTGAACACTCTGTATAGATTATTCTCATTTAAATTGATGAAAAAAAATATGTATTGAAGAAAAATATAATGTCTGTTTTGTATATTTTAAGGTTGTCCCGTGTTAATTTTAATAATTTCTAAAGCTTTTGAATTTTTTCTTTTATAATATGTGCTTTAACTGTGCTGTAGTATTTTGTACGTGGAACCAAAATCTCAAAATTGGACATAGGTATTTGACTCTAAAAAATCGATGTACAAATGGATTAAAACCGAAGATAGCGTGCTTTTTGGTTGTTCTCCTCTTTTATTCATTATTGTATAGTTTCTTTGAACTACGGGTCCTTGAGATTAATATCGCTACCATAGCTTGAAAAGGGTTTTACATATATTTTCCACGTTTTAAAAATGTAAACCTTTTTAAAAATTCAGGAATAGTTTCATGAAAAAAGGGTATGTGTATATGAGGTATATTTTATAGCGGAAAGTTTAAGGATAGAAATAAAACAAAATATTCACCAATGACAATATGAAAAGACAAAGCAAGAGAGGAAAGAAACATTTCATTTAAAAAATGAGTCACCATACCAACACCCCTTTCTCTCTCAATCCCCTCATTTCGATATTGCCATTATAATTTTACGCGCGGACTAAAATATAACCCTTGGGCTTGGACCAAGTCACTGTTGCTCATTTTACGCATGGACGTAAACTATTGGACATTTGACATTGGAATGTCCTTCAACCGCCAAGACCTTTTCATAAACACATTTAAGACTTGCAGAGGCTAGTAAAACACTACCAATAATTCCTCTGAATCATGAGAAATCCATGTCATTATAAGACATGTAGAGGAAAGTTTCGAATTCATAGATGGAAATGACGTGTTGAGATAGGTATCGGTCGGAGCAAAGTTGTGGGAGTCTTCAACGTAAATTTTTAAGCACTGGGAACGCTACACGTACCATTAGGGTAAATTTTTATATTATTCCCTATTGCTTCTGTTGGCACTTCTCCAGTCTTGGCGAGAAGTTTAGGCCAAACGTCCCGCCAATAATGAAACTTTGTAGCGCGGTAGGTATATCTTATTTTGAGCATTTAAACTTATAGTTAAAAAAAATCGCGATATATGGCGATTAAATCGCAACCAATCGCAATTTTTGGTTCGATAAAATCGTGATCAATTTTTGTCGATAAAATCGAAACTAAATCGCCATTATCGCGATTTTTATTTCGAAAATATCGCGATAAATTGTCGGGCGATGAAAGCGCGATTTTATCGCGATAAGATCGAGGATAACCGCTCAGATTTTGATGATTCTGGCGACTTATATCGCCGATAAAATCGCAATACACATCGATTTTTCCGTTGAGAAATGCAACTTGGGTAAGTTGAGCTATAGTGCCTACGTTACTTTATCTAGCACTGAGTGGGACATGTGAGCCAGAAATAGTAGTGAAAGGAACTCGCGGATTTTTAACGATGCATTTTCCGAAGTTGTAAATTTGCGTTGAATTTCATTTAACTGATAAGCTCTTGCGAAGGGCCCACGGCCACGGCTCTTCATTTTCTGATCAAACAAACGCTGCGCTGACCTCGGAAGCTCCGCTATCCTGAACCGGCGATCTGGAGCTTATTTTCTTTTTAATTACAAAACGTTACAAACGAATGTAGAGATGAAGGAAGCCCGCGCACGAGGATAAGGAATTCTGCAGTGAGAAAAGACGATAGTGGGAGTGGAACGCTCGCAGTTTAAAAACGGGGTCACGTAGGACTCGGTGCGATGCGATGCAGGTATTTCGGATGAAAGGGTGACCGGGGAGCGGGGGGTTGGGGTGGGCTCGGGCCACGGGTCTATCTTCAATCTGGACTTTACTAGGCACGTATCTGCGCAATAAGCGTCATCTCGACTACGTTAGAGGCAACGTTAACGTTTTAATATTCTCTATTGTGCAATCTGTGTCGCGCAATTGCCGTTTGTTCAGTCCGTCTTTGTGTTTGCGACGGCAGAAAGGGAGGGGGCTGCCTTGTCGATGTGTGAAAAATTTACGGCTTTATTCAGTGTGTCCGCTGTCCGGTTATAATCACGACGATGAGGTGGGGGCTGACACCCGGTTGGTCCTCCTAAAAATGATCCGCTGAGTAGGCGCTGACATACTTTCCGCGCTAACCAGCGACCGTACTGTGTTTGGTGCAATGCGTGAAGTATTCCGGCACTCTCGTAGGCGCTAACATGCTTTCCGCGCTGTTTCCGGTCCGAAAAGCTCCGCGAGTCCGCTGAAGCGAACGATCGCCGAAAAACGCGCGTTTGATGAACTCTCACCAAACCGACAAAAACACTCGTTTTCCAGCGTTCCTCGGCTCAGAGAGCTTCGCCGAACCTCGGAACCGTGCGCAATCGATTCTACGCCTCCAACTCCCTAGGATTCGACACTAATCTCGGAAATTATTTTCCGGGCCAAAATCGAGGAACATCGACAGGGGCGAAAAAAGGCCGCGCAACTTAAGAAAGCTGGGGGAGAGCGTAAAGCAATCCACGTATGAAAGCTGACTAAATAATGAGTGAGATCTCATTTCATTGCCGACCGATTCCCCGTGGGTGTCATAAGGTTTCAGCTTCTCTACATGGCTACATAATCGATGATATTTAAATTCCAAAAGTTCAATGTGTTGATGCAGAAATCAGTGATGATTGTAGAGTTTTTTGATTCGCCATTTTTTAATCGATTAATCGTCTTTCGATTCGATCAATTACTCGATCGTCAAAATTTCGATCCACTTTTGCATCTATGATAGGTATGCTGCAGTTGGCCGAGGTTAGAAAATTGAAATTTCTGAAATGAAGCTATCCCCTGTGGAATGACCCGCTGGGTCCACTTTTATGGTCTAAAGTGCTTTTCGCGTCGACTGGTCCTCGTAATCAGCATGATAGCGGTGAATTCACTGAGCTGGAAGCAATCAAGAACACTGATTCCTTTGCTGAGGAGTCAATCCTTGTAGATCCTCGGGGCCATCTGCAACAGACTGGCCGCTCCTTCTTACGAGGGGTTTGTCGGTTATCTTGAAATGCTTTTTTTTCTTCCTAGAGGTGTGAGGGAGGCTTCGTCGGAAAAAACATTTAAATTTCAACCCAACTGAACCCAAGTAAGGGCAATTTGTGGCGTTTTTAGACACACGTTGTGATTGGAAAGGAGGCAAAAGGGCTTACTTTTCACTAATGAATTTTCTCTGAAGAACAATCGAAAATACCACTTTCAAACGCACTTAAAAAAGTATACATGGAAGGAAGGGGAAATAACTTTGTGGTGTGGACTCCCTTCCTTTCTTGTGTTACACTTTCATTCGTCATGGACCACCTCGAAACAGTTGTTGTTTCAATGGCTATTTCGCTTTTCATTGAATTGCCCGTATGCGCTTCACGCTGGCCAGCCATCGCACTGTGTTTGGCGCAATGCGTGAAGTATTCCTACACTCTCGTAGGCACTAACATGCTTTCCGCGCTGACCAGCGACCGCACTGCGTTCGGCGCAATGCGTGAAGTATTCCTCCACTTTTGTAGGTGCTAATATGTGTCTCGTACCGACCGCGAAGGCCGCACTATATTTGGCGAAATTGGAACGATGATACAGTATTAGATTTGAAAGAAACTGTAGAAATAGAGGAACTTTTGATACATTATTCTGTTGGCTGAATACAACATGTTTCCGCAAAGAAACCTTTCATACATTGATTTTCCCAGATTGCCATTTTTTGAGCTAATTCGACTGGACTAAAAGGTGAAATTTGTTTAAAATGGATGCAGAAACGGAAAATGACATGGTTTGATTAGTCAAAGGTATTATGCACAATCCAGTCTGACTCGAAGTGATCACAATTTAAAAAGAGCATGAATAATGGTTAATTTTAAACTAGAGCATGAGTGAAAAGTAATAACAATGGCGAATGGTAGAAAATGGTACTTTAATTTTAATAATATAGAAGATTTACAGTTGTTCCTTGACACAGAGTTAAAAGCTAAGGAATATCTAGCTTAACACAAGTAAATGCAGTGAAATAGCTTAAAAAAATATACAAAGTGAGAGTAATAATCATTTTGTAGAGATGATCAGGAACTCACTATTTTTAGGGCTATAGTTTTCTTAGTGAGAAGAATTACATTTTCATTGTTTTGGACACTTGAGAAAAAATAGAGGTTTCCACTAAACGATGGTTTATACGTTGTTTCAGAAGCTATTTCAATTAAATCCACTAAAGACAAGAAAACTACATTTTCAAAAAATGAGAAAGAGGACTTACTTCATCCTTGATGGAGGTATACATTTTTGTGGAAGAAAATTTAAGATCAAATTTAGATGGAGTAAAAAAAAATAAATAACATGTGCAAATTGCATTTTAGTAACATCACAAAATTCAATTACTCTTGTATGGATGCCACAAAACAACAGAGAAGTGTGGGGAAAATTACCAAATACATGCTAGAGGTATTTACAGGTTCCCAATTACAAGTTTGCAATGAACACTTAAATACTTAAAGATAAATAAAATATAAAAGCAGAGATACATCTAAAAATTGAACAAATTTTGATTTGATTAAAACACCTAATTCATTAAAATCCTTTAATCCTTCAGTCACAGAACTTGAAAGGTAAACAGGTTTCTGAGTTACAGGCTTCACCAGCAGAAAGAGAATTTTGAGCAGCTGGTGGTGAGCAATGAATTACCTGAGAGGAATTCACAGGAAGGTGGGAAAATTACAAATTTTTAGACTTACAATGATATTTAAAAATACGAGGTAGGTGATGGGGTAAAAATACTTTTTACAGAAACATTGGGTAAGTCTCTGGTGGTTACTTTATTTTTTTTTTTTTTTTTTTTTTTGCATGATCAACAAAAAAAATCTTAATTTTCAGTTGATAAGGTATCTTATTTATTTTTTTATGAAAGTTCAGTTTAAAATTTTACATTTCTTTGAAGGAAAAAGTATTGTCATGACGGTCCTCCTCCGCGGTGTTCTGCTAGTTTTCAGCCTTTTATAGAGACTGTAGAGAATCTCTCAAGCAATCCTACTAGGTTGCCTCAGTTTAAAATTTTACATTTCTTTGAAGGAAAAAGTATTGTCATGACAGTCCTCCTCCGCGGTGTTCTGCTAGTTTTCAGCCTTTTATAGAGACTGTAGAGAATCTCTCAAGCAATCCTACTAGGAAATATTTGACAAGTTGGGTTGATACCGCAAAGTTTGAGAAAGAAATAAATCGTTTTAACCAATAACAATTAATTTCACTGAAATATTTTTCTCTTAAAACTTATAAAATATTTTGCAGCCATTAATGTATCATTCTTGGTTTGAAAAACATTCTCATTACCATCTTCGATATGTTCATTAGTCCCTTGGAAGTAAAGTGGCACAATATATCAATGTCGGTAACTGGTAATTCAAACTTCAGAGGATAAACATGGCAACTCTTCTTCCATGAATAGAAAAATATGTGTCAAAATTGGTTTAAAAAATAAGCACTGAATTTCAGTTTTGTCGAGAAAAAGATAAATTTTGAAACAGTTGATTAATACATTTTTTTGGAACTATCTAATTTTAATTCGATTATTTTAATTATTATTTAATGAACTACCATTGAACTTTGTGTAATTCGTAACCTTCAAATTACATGAATCATGATAGGTGCTTACTGAGCATTTAAAACAGTAAAAATATGCTGTGTTCTTTCAATATATGTACTGCCAAAATTGGAGAGTTATTTGCCAATCATTTTAGTTAAATGAACTATTACAAGCGATTACAATGAGCTATTTAAGAAAAAGTCATGCATGCAATCAAACACTTTAAAAGAGATGTTGGTCACAGACATAGATACTGGGGAAGATAGATTGTGAAAATTGATGACTTTCTCAAGCATTTTCGTCCTGTAATTAATAATTTCGGTAACTTAACTTGGCTGCTGTTTAATTAGTCTCATTTTAGTAGCAAAAAAATAAAATCAATCACTACAACCAAAACATAACAATGCCGGCGTTTACAGACATCATGCAAAAGAAGCCCTGACTTGGTCAGATTTTCATTGATGAAAATTTTAAAATTCCCAAAGACATAATTAACACATACAACCCACCAGTATGCAATAAACAATGCAACGGTGAAACAATTGGATCTTTTTCATCATTGCTTTTTTAAAATCTTTTCTCCGACACTACCGCACTAAGAAAGAGCGTTGTATGTGCCTTCAGACGTCACCATATTTCCTTTAAAAAAGACAAATTTTCTGGTAAAATTTTGAATATTATACTTCAAATTTTTGAGACTATTTTTTTTGCAATTAAACCTGAAATATCAAAGAATTTCAAGGAAAAATACAGATATCAGTCCTCAGAAATACATTTTTTACTAGGAAAATTTGGTAACTGTCAAGCGGTTGTACGTCGTTCCTCCTTATCACGGTAGAACAGTCATTAGAACTTTTCAGGTAGGGAAAAATTGAGATCAAGCATTTTTTGGCACTTCTGTTTCAGTTATGAAAGTGCAATTTCAGAGCAAAATTGGAGAAGTTTTTTCTTCTTGCCTTCAAATTCTGTTTTAAAGCCATGTATCCATCTTGAACAATTCTATTTCAGCATTTTATAAAATCGTATTATTGTAAAAAGTACAAAAGATAAAGCTTTTCAACCTATTCCGTTAAAGCGTCTTTCATGGATTAGGAGACCTCTTAGAAACTATTTTTTTCCACCGGCAAAATGTACAGCTTGTATTATAGGTCCGTCTATTATTTGAATCAAGGGGCATGGTAAAAAGAGATATATACATAGTGAGAGTCCTTCTAAATCGAATCAATTTACAGCCTGTGGTTTGTAGGTTACTTGGAGTGGAATTCTTTCAGACATAATCGACAGCTCCAGGATCCTTCCGGCGGAGATGATAAAGGTGGAGAGAGACAATACATGTGGTAGCCACGATCGCAGTCATCACAAAATAGTAACTGATCCTGAAAAAACCAGGAAAAAAAAGATACATAAAAATAAGAGGTGAATTTCTTTCTACTATTGATAAAACCAATATTACAAAAGGCCTTGATGTGCGCAAGAGGGGCAGATAACACCCATCACCTGGTTTTTATAGGTGAATATCTTGGTTAAAGTTAAATGTAAGATCTTGTTTGTTAGAAAGATTTTATTTTTTAATACTTCCGTTTTTAGCGCGCCACGCCAACTTTGAACGATCATAACTTTTGAACCATTTGCTTGCCAAGTTGAACTATAGCTCGTTTCAAGGGCTTTCATTTAAATTGGTTTTTGTAACAATTCCTGCCTTCCCTTCCATAGAAAACCCAAAAAAACTGAAATTTTTGGGCTTGAAAAATCAAACAATGTTTTTTGTCACATTGAAATATTACCTAAAACAGACTTTAATATACGTCAAATGAAAGGTCTCGTTGAGAGCTTTCATTTGAGCCCAAGATCAAGTTGATCTGTTGTTTCGTTCAAAAGTTATGACGGTCTGTGCGTTTGACCTTTGACCCCCTCCCCCTTAGAGGGCTAGACGGGAAAGGTCACCGGATTTAGGCCTCTCTGATGATCCGTTATGATTCCTGAAAGTAGGGATGTAAAATCTCTTGCGGCTATTTCCTATGGAAAATGGGACAGCCTCTTTAGTCCAGTTAGATAAAGATAAAGAATTTTAGTATAAAGCAAGAGCACAACTTGTCTGTAAACATGAATTTTCACTATGACAATAATTTTACAATCAGCAAGAGAGGATTAGAACTTACATCATTGTCTGAAGTCCCACAAATGGAGCAGCATTTACACTCAATGCACTGCCACCTGTACTTGCGAACAGACACTATCATATTGTTCGTGAATTGCAAACAAGTTGGATGTCCTGGAAAAGAAAAATATCGCCAATTAACTCGAAAGATATTAAAAGAGGCAGGAAATTTTCAATTTTCTGATTGATTTTTGAGGCATTGTACTAATATTTTTATAAGTCAAATATGCCAATTGAGAATGGACTTGAAAGTGTTTCTAAACAGGAAACCAATGTTGGATTCCTGTTCCTATCAGAATAGAATATGCTCCTATACAGAACAAGCCACCTAACTGGAAAAAAACATTCTGATTTTGAAAATAAGGTTTTTATTGAGGATTTTTCAACTACGTACATCACTGGTTATGTCTCACGATCAGAAAAACTTTTTCAAAACGTGACACGAAGGATCATACTTAGAGAAAATGATTGAGGAATAAAAGAAAAGTGAATTTTGTGAACTCTCAAAGATAAACCGAGAGTAGAATACATACCCGATCTGCCGCAGTCAGAGCAAGACACCAGTTCCTCCGGCTGGCCAGATTTTTTATTGGCCACAGCATCGCCGAGACAAAAATCACAGTATGGAGACGGGGCAGCTTTTTCCCTACCATCCATCTTCAATACAGGTAAAGCATCCTGAAATGAAAAAATAATATTTAAGAATTGTGCTGGCTAAACAACATATGTCCACATAGAGTGACACTACAGAGACTACGTAGCACCAATAACTATAACGTAACTAGGGGGCTACGCCCCCTGGCCGCTACGCGGCCCAACCCCCCC